AGAATCAGTGCGGAGGATGGGGGGGACGAAGAGACCCTGCACTAGCCTGAAACAGCCCGCTGGCAACCTGCAAGACGCGAGCCGATCGGCGTCGACGGGTCAGGGAAAGTGGTCGGCTGAGCAGATTTGCACGGCCCCTATGGCCCAGATGGTAACCATCATAAATCCACCAACCGAGAAAATAGGAGACAAGAGAGGGAGGAGGAGGAGGAGGAGGAGGAGGAGGAGGAGGAGGAAGAGGAGGAGGAGGAGGAGGAGGAGGAGGAGGAGAAGGGGAGAGGAGGAGGAGGAGAGGAGGAGGAGGAGGAGGAGAAGGAGGAGGAGGAGGAAGGGAGGCTAAACAACTGGCGAAGGATACACATTCGGACTAAAACGTATCCAGTCCGCTGCTGCAATCAAGCTGTGCTATATCCCCGATTGAATACCCCAACCAGCAACCCCAGCATATCAAGCACGACATCAGAGTGGAGAGGGGAGGAGCGGAGGACCGCCCAGTGCCCGTGCCCGCCCAATGCCCGTGCCGCCTTGTCGCTGGAGACCTTACAATTGACTGGGGAATCGCGCTCTCGTTTCAGTGCACGCTACATGTCTCATCTGGACGGCCACGACCCCTTGCACAAAAGTACACTACGATATACATGGCCGTGATCACACCCCGATCACACGGCCACGACCCGTGGTGCCAAAACAAACTGTGCAACAAAAAAGCACTTCACTGTACACATGGCCATGCTCACCCCTGTCACACGGCCATGATCGTTTGCAAAAGACGACACAACGGCGCACAGGACCGTGCTCTCTCGCGCCTGCTCCGCCCAGGAAAACCCCACGAACAGCTCGGGCTTCACGTTTTCGCTAGCCGTCAAAATGTGATTCTCGCCTTAGCGCCGCGCGGACTCGACCTTGATAGCTGCAAGAGATTCACGGATTGAGGGCGGGTCATTTTCTAAATGTGGCTCTCGCTTTAGCGCCGCGCACAAAGAGTTCCACGGATTGAATGCGGGTCGTGTTCAAAAATTCGGTTTTCGTCTGAGCGCCGCGCACATCCGTGCTAAAAAATTGCAGGAGTTTCACGGATTGAAGGTTCCTTTTTAAAATGTAGCTGTCGCCCTCGCGCCGCGTACATTTGTTTTCAATAATTGCAAGAGTTTCACGGATGCCTATGATCAGCGAACCAGAAGTGTTGTTGGGAGAATTCTAAATTATGAGGGCGCAACAAATCCGTTGATTCGCGGTGTGAAAGTCCCAGGGATGGCGTTCCAGCGCGATTCAAGATCTTCAAGACCCGACAGTCAGGTTGATCCGTGGCGTTGGAATCCCAAGAACAATCTTTTGGCATGCTTCAGGGTCTTCAAACACCTGCCTCTGTCTTCCAGCGAGGCAGTTCCCTCGGTGGACATGAACCGTGGCAGGGACCTATGAGGCGGGAGCTCCGCCTCCTCCTGCTCCCCCTCCTCCTCCTCCCCCTCCCCCTGCATCTCCTCCTCCTCCTCCTCATCCTCCTCTGTTTCGTTGTATTATTCCTCTTATTCTTCTTATATGATCATTATTATTATCCCTAATATTATTATGATTCGGAATATGATTTTAATCTTATTGAGAGTAATGTATGTTTATCAGTAGTAGTAGTATTACGACTACGACTATTACTAGTATTAGTATTGCTAATCGTTGTCCAATAGTTATAATTCTTCTTTTGCTATCATTACTATTACCAATATTATGAATATTAGTCTTATTACTATTATTATCCATGTCCGCATTATGGTTCGCATGCTTCTGGTTCGCGTTTGTGATATTACTCGTATGAATGATATTCTGCTTATTATTATGACTATGATCATGTTTCTGCTTCTGCTTATTAATACTCTGCTTCTGCTTATGCTTAAGTTTCTGTTTATTCTCCTCATCCTCCTACCCCTCCTCCTCCTCCTCCTCCTCCTCCTCCTCCTCCTCCCCCTCCTCCTCCCCCTCCTCCTCCGCCTCCGCCTCCGCCTCCACCACCGCCCCCGCCTCCACCTCCGCCTCCGTTTTTCCTCCTCCTCCTCCTCCACCTCCTCCTCCTCCTCCTCCTCCTCCTCCTCCTCCTCCTCCTCCTCCTCCCTCCTCCGCCTCCGTCTCCTCCTCCTCCTCCTCCCTCCTCCTCTTCCCCCTCCCCCTCCTCCGCCTCCTCCACCGCCTCGCCCTCCTCCCTCCTCCTCCTCCTCCTCCTCCCCTCCTCCTCCTCCTCCTCCTCCTCCTCCCCTCCTCTTCCGCCTCCTCCTCCTCCTCCTCCTCCTCCTCCTCCTCCTCCTCCTCCTCCTCCTCCTCCTCCCCTTCCCCCTTCTCCTCCTCCATCCCCCTTCCTTCTAAATCCTCACTGTCGCACCCCGAGACGCGCTGGCAGGGCAGGCTGGGCGAGCTGCCTGGGACTGTCTCTCCATCTGTGGTCCTGAAGCTCACAACTTGCAGCAACTTCACGGATGGAGGCCGGTTCCGTTCCAGAACGCGGCCCTCGCAATAGCACCGCGCACACTCGTTCAAAATGTTCCAGAGCTTCACGGACGCAGGGCGTTTCGTCTCCACGATGCGGTTATCGCCTTGGCGCCGCGCACGTTCGTTTAACAAAGACAAAGCTGCACGGATGGAGGGCGGGCCGTTTTCAAAATGTGGCTCTCGCCTCGGCACCGCACACCGTCGTTTCAAAGTTTACAACAGGTTCAAAGATTATTTTGGCCAACGTCCAAGAATATGTTTGCGCCCACGATTGAGGTTTGTCAGGGCGAAACGGTCATGTTGATTCGCTGTCGTGAAGTCCCAGGAAAAGTGTTCTGACACGATTCCGGATCGTCCGAACGCGACAGGATCGCCGACTCAAGGCGATAAAATTTCAGGCATGGTGCTTCGGCACGGCTGAGGATTCTCGGACGGTTGCCTTCCAAAGGGGCACTTCCATCAGTGAAAATAAATCCATGTAGGGACTTATGACGAAGGAACTTGGAAGGAGGGTGTACACAGGCTCTCCTCCATTCAAGCCTGACAGCAGGGTCTTTGCCAACTCCCTGCCACTCCTCCTCGCCCTCATCCTCCTCCTTCCACTATTCCGCCTCCTTCTGTTCGGCTGCCTCCTCCCTCTCCTGACCCTCCTCCTCCTCCTGACCCTCCTCCTCCTCCTCCTGGCACGTGCCTTGCTGAATGAGTTCCTGGTGACCACCTCGAGCTCAGCGCCGAAGTTGGTGTGCCAGTGTGGGCACAGTCAGCCCTCCTCCTCCTCCTCCTCCTCCTCCTCCTCCTCCTCCTCCTCCTCCTCCTCCTCCTCCTCCTCCTCCTCCTCCTCCTCCTCCTCCTCCTCCTCCTCCTCCTCCTCCTCCTCCTGGCGAATGGCCCTCTTGTCCGAGGCAAGACAGGCTCGCCAGCCCTCGGGCGCACGGCGCCCGCTGTGCTGCTGCGCCGGCCCGACCGCCACCGCGTGGCCTGCGCGGGCCGGCCCCGCGCGCAGCTCGCGCCTCTCCCGCGAGCACGGCCGAGAGCTCCGGCGCCGTGTGCTTCTCGCTTTACGTCGGGCGTGTCCCTCGACAGGAGGAGTATTCCAAAATGGCCAAAAGATGGTCCAGGGACGATTTGGGGAGGGGGCTTTTTTGGGGGGTTATTTGGGGGCTGGCTTTGCTTTTATTGTATATGTTTCTATCCACATCCGCCTGTGGGGGGACATCCCCAAGCTAAGTCTCGCTGCGTCGCCCCGCCCTGCACCCCTCCCGGGGGAGCGGCCGCCGATCCCGAGTCAGCGTCCAGCGGCTCCGTGGCCCGCAGCGGGCGGCTCCGCCTCTGCTCTTCGTCTGGGGCGCTGGAGGCTTGGGCCCCGGCCGATCGCGCGCGCCTCCCGCGGGCCCTCGCTGCAGGCCCGCCGGGGCCTCGGCGAGGAGCTCGGAGACCTCGCCCCCCGCTCGCGGAAGCGCAGCGCACTGCGCGGCTCCGGCCGCGCCTCTTCTCAGAGCCCCGTGACCACCGCGATGTAGCGGGTACAGCTTTTGGGCCCCCCATGTGTGCATCTCGTTTTACTGTGTCCTGCCTATCTTCTGGTGAGGTCTGTTCATTGCCTTCCGTCGTGCAAGTGCCGGGGAGGTCTGTCGAGGCGCACCTGACGAGAACCCCGTCATGGGACCACGAGCTCCTCCGAGCCGAAACTTGACGGTCGACTTCAAGACGAACATGCTCCTTGGCCTTCTCGGATACCACCGTCTGCCCATATGTGCATCTCGTATTCTGGCACGTTCCCTTAGGTGAGTGCCCGAGCACGGGCAGCGGCCGAGCGGGACCGCGAGCTCGTGTCCCCCGAGCGGGACGCCAGCGTCGCGGCCCTGGACGCGTCTCGCTGCAGAGAGGCCCCGGTGGTGATCACCGCGGGCCCTCCCGAGGGATGCGTCACCGAGGGATGCGTCACGGGCCTGCTCGAGTCCAGGCTGCCCCTTGACGCTGGACTTGATGCTTCGCGTACCCAAAACAGCAGGTTTAGTCGTGTACCTCGATGCTTCGCGTACCCAAAACAGCCTGCTTCGCGTCCCTCAACCTGCTTCGAGTCGAGGGATGCGTCACGGGCTGCTGGGATGTTTTGCACAGCTTGCCCCTTTAATTAGAGCGTGGAGCGCGCCTGTTCTGGGCCCCAGGATCACCGCGGAGCAGCAGGCACGGCGACTGCGCCTCCCCCAGCGGGAGCCGCCAGGGGGCACTCCCACAATCTTGCTGCGAACGGGCCCGCGGAACCCCGCCAGTCGACCCCCTCTCTCTGGGCGTCGTCTCCGCGCTGAATAATTAGCTTTGGTATTAGTAGACTTCCTCTTCTTCATAATATTATGATTCCTCCTCCGCCTCCTCCTCCTCCTCCTCCCTCCTCCTCCTCCTCCTCCTCTTTCTCCTCCTCCTCCTCTTTCTCCTCCTCCTCCTCATCCTGCTTCCTCCTCCTTCCTCCCTTTCTCTTCCTCCCTTCTCCACGGAGGCGCCGCCCTGCCGCCACCCCTGGGCACCTTTGACGAAGTCCGCGCAGGCGGCAGCGGCTGCCCCCGGTGCGCGGTCCGCCGCAAGCCGGCCCCGCGCCCGAGGGGTGTCTGGGGCGCGCTCGCCCCGCGACCGCTAGACCTCCTGAGGGCCCTGGGGCGGCCCATGAGGACGGCACAACCCACCCCTACCCCCAGCCAGGACCCCACTCCCGACCTGGTGATCCAGGGGGTCCTGGCTGGGGGTGGGGGTGTTTTTGTGCCCGGCTCTTGAAGGCCAAAAAACCACCCTCGTTCTCAGCCAGGACCACCTGGCCAGGTCGGGAGTGGAGACCTGGCTGGGGGGGTGTTGTCCTCGGTCCAGGCACAACCAAACAGAGCCGAGACTCAAGCAGCAAGGAGTATCGGCGTGAACTTTCGCATGTCTGCGCGGATGTTCTTGAGCCCAGACTTCCGAAAGCGTATGCATGTGCTTATGTTGGTTCTGCCCATTTCTTCGGCAACGACCCAGGACAAGTCTGCCATATCACATCAGCAAAAATTAACACCAGTTTCGCTATCTGCCGCGCCTGTCCAAGGCGCCACTGGACCCTTGGCTCGAGGGCGTCCAAAAGGGGGGCGTCCAAGAGGGGTGTTAGCGAATCATGCCCCGAGGCATGTGCACGGACGAGGGAGGGGCCAGAGAGCGCAGAGAAAGAAGAACAGAGGCCTATGAAATCAGCGAACCCGCAGCCCTCCCGGGCGTGTGAAATACTCGTCCCTCCCCTGGACTGGCCGCGACCCAGACTTTTTGCGCCGATGTCTCCTGTGGACAAGGGAAAAAAACCCAAATCTAGCAGGGTCCCCACAGCGGGGTTATCCACCCCTCTCGCCCTCCCGGTTCAGGTTCCCCGGGGATGCGCGGCCGAGCACCTACCCCTTCGGCCCGCATCCCCCCTATGGGCCCCACTTCCCATATGAACAATGGAGATGCTTGCCCTCCCCCCCGCGCTTAAGCCCGCCCCCCCTCCCCCACCACCCAGCACCCAGCACCCCCCGTCCCCACCAGCAACCCCCCCCCCCTCCCCACCAGCCTGGCCCCCTTCGACGCTACGAGAACTCTGCCACAACGTGCAGCTTCCCGCGAAGCGGCGGGACCCGTGTCAGTGGCATTTGCGCCTGGGTCCCCAAGGGGTCGGCGGTGCGGCTTAAGCCCAGGAGTCCACGTCTGGAGGTGATGTGCTAAGCGACAACGTTTTCTGGCGAACAACGTACCGCACCGTGTCCAGTGTATCCAAGAATACAGAATTTCTACATGTTGCAGCCTCTTTCATTATTACGTCTCCCCCCCTACTCCCCCCCTGGAGTCGCGCCACATCGGCGGACCAAGATGGCAAACCCCGCTTTGGGGCCCCAAGGCGTACCGAGCCTCTGCGGCCTCCTGGAGGACCAAGAAGGCCTCACTACGGCGGAATGCAGCTTCCCGAAGGCCCAAGACGGCCCAAAGACGGCCCAAGATGGCCCCGAGGGGGCCCAAGAGGCTCCGAGGACGGCCCCAGAGGGCCACCCAGGAGCACCTCCAGACCTATGGGGTCTGCAGTGTGCTCGAGTTCTCGCCTTGTCGATTCTGAGAGGCCCACGACAACCCAAACAGCCTCCAAGATGGCCCCGAAGGCCTCCAAGAGGGCCCCAAAACGGCCCAAGAGGCCAAAAGATGGCCCACAGAGGTCCCAAGAAGGCTCAAGAGGCCCCCAGGACAGCCCAAGCGGACCCCAACAGAGCCACGCAAGACATCCCCGAGAGGCCCCCGATACGGCCTCCGAAGGGGCCAGACGGCGCAAGAGCGCCCCAAGACAGCACAAGAGGCGCCCAAGAGGCCCCAAGAGGCCCTAAAGGGGCCCCCAAGAGGCTCCTAGGGGCCCCCAAGAAGCCTCCAAAACGCTCTTGAGAAGGCCCCAAACGGCCCAGAAAAACCACAAAGAGGCCCGCGGAATTGTATACGAATGGCGTGTTGGCGCGTCATTGCTATGTTCATCGGAATTAGAATTTGGCGGTGTTTTATGATGACACGCGGTAGAAACTCATTATCTTTGTGGACATTCGCACGCTCGTCCAGGGCGAGCAGAACAACACGGCAGAGCTTCTCGGCAGACGAGCAAGGCAAAGCCACCCGACACCCAGTCTTAACGTGCTCTGGACGTGCACCCCGGCGAAACGAGAGGATTCTGAGGAGACCGCGTCACGGCCCCAGCCGTGATATCCACACACACGCACACCACACACACACACACCTCTAGGGCATCACCCCCTCTTGGCCGCCCCCGATATGCATCTGCTTTGGTGTGATGTTTCTGGTTGTGCTGCCCCATTTGTCAACATCTGCTGTGCGTTTGCCTGGCTGTTCCGATACCCCCCGTGGGCGCTGCGGAGGCCGAGCGGCCGCAGCCATCGTCGCGCGGTGTGTCCACCATGCCACGCCAGGTGCCCAGGCAGCACATTCGCCTCGAGTCTGAGCCACAAGTTGCAAAGAGAAGCCGAAGAGCAGAACTGAGTGTAGCGTGACCTGATAGAGGGGCGCTGGCAGATGGCAGCGTGGCAAAGCGACGAAACGACAAGAGAGATACGGGAGATGACGGGACGACAACCGCTGGCGGATGCTGGACGGGGCGAGTGGCGGCCACAGGCCACGACCCACCAGACCGCCGGCGTTTGGACTTCGGGCCGGCATGCAGGGGGAGGCGACTGGTCACGGGGCGCAGGTCCCGAGCGGCGAACATATCCGTATCCGCGACCTCGCGCTCGGCACTCCGAGGCGCGGTCCCGCGGATGCGCGGTCGCACGGGCACGTTCCGCACGGGGCGTCCGCGAAAAAACGCCCCGCATCCGCGAGGTCGCGGCTCAGGGGCCCGGCGGATGCGGACATGTGTTTCGCCCACGAGAGCATGGCGCACGAGGCGCAGGCGAGGCACGAGGCGCAGGCGGCGGCGAGGCAGACTTGGCTGCACCAGCGATACAGCTAAACGGTGGCACCGAGAAGCGAATTGGCCAGCGTGCAGGCAGGGAGGCGAAAGGCAAAGAGGCAACAGGGCGTCGGGCAACGGACGTCCGCAACCAAATGCACACTGGGGGCCGGTGGGCCTCGCGCCACTGGCCCCAGCGAGGGTGCCAAAGGCTGCTGGGCGCCAGGTTTTGAACTGCCATAGGCGTACCGACAGGGACGAGAGACCATACGACGGACTGCCAGGCCACGACACGGCCACTTGCAATCGGGTCACACGCCTGGAACAACGCGGCGACCTACTTCTGCCACTAAGCCGCGACCATGCCGTAAACACTGTCCGCAAGTCCCTTCGAATTCTCTGTCTTGAATATCCCAGACACGCTTTCAAGAACCCGAGGCCTCAATCGCCAGAGTTTCGGGGTATTGCGGTGCGACGCCCAGGGCGCCCCCGGGGGCCCAACACGGGCCAAGACTCTCCTCAGAGGGCTCCAGGCCAGCCCACGAGGCCCCGATACTGCCCAAGAGCGCTCCGAGACGACCCAAGACGGCTTCCGGGTGCTTACGAGGTCTACAAGACGCACCAAGAGCCCCCCAAGATAATCCAAGAGGGCCCCAAGGATCCCGAATCACGGGTTTCTAATTGAGCTGCACTACTGCGATGAGTTCTTAAATACATAGAAAACTGATATGGTTTGAGATCAGGCCTGGTGGGGCAACTCTGTCCAGAGCGCACCCGCAAGGCCCAAGACGGCCCCAGAATCCCCGAAGAAGGCCACAAGACTGACCAAGAGGGGCTCAAGAGGCCCTTCAAACGGCCCAAGAAGGCGCCAGGTCTCCGAGCGATCGGTCCAAAACGCTCCAGATAGCCTCCAGACGGACCAAAATGCCTCCGAGATACCACAACACTTCCAAGAAAGAGCTCAACCGAAGGAAAAAAACATTTCTAGCATATGCGGCTTCGCGGTCTTCACGGCGCCCACGACGGTCTAAGAGGTTGCAGGACGCCCATGACCTCCAAGAGGCCGGAATCCAGGGCTTTCCTGGATGCTGAAATCGTTTTCGCCTCGTCGGACTTGGACACTCCTGGACACTCCATGATAGGACCCAAGATTGCCCCAAGACTCCCCAAAGGCAGCCGAGAGACCTGCGCGACGGCCCAGGAGGCCCCCAAGACGGCCCCAAGACGGCTCTAAGACGGACTCCGAACGCCCAAAGTGGGACCCACCCGAGGGCCCCCAACAGGCCACTAAGAGACCCCCAAAGGCCCCCAAGAGGTCCCCAAGAGGCCTTCCGAGTTCCTCAAGGAGGTCCCCCAAGAGGGCCTCAAGAGGCCGCATCTTATTATTTATCGTCCCCCGTTTTGAAAATATGATAGGATCCTTTTTGCCATGGAGGAAAATAGAACTCGATCCAAGTGGCGTCGGGCAACGCACGCACAACCGTGAAACAGATGAATTCCCTGAAGAGAGAAGGCAACAAGACAAATCAAGGACGGCAGCGTAAGGCTTCGAGACCTGATCACCCAGTCGTGAGATTGTGATATACAATACAAACGAAGTATCGGGAAAGTTCGAATCCAGTATACATTGCATCGACGCTCGGACTCCACCCTCGCGAGTCCAGGCACGACTCTACAGAACTAATACTAATACTCGTAGAAAACTGGTGCAAGCAAAAGGCGACTATGACTTGGGCGCAAACATGCAGGGGTGTCCTAAGGCACGGTACACGGTTTTCAATGTCGCGAATCATCCGGTCATGCCAAAAGATGAACATATCATGTAGCGCATGCTGCAAATCGCGTAGACGAACACCTGGGAGTCAACTGATCCTCGGCTCAAGTCCCAGCAAAGCAGCACCCGAGGTAACCTGGATATGGATTCACCTGACACCCCGCAGCGGGTGCCAGCTCGTGCATCACATCAACGAAATGTTGGCAAGCACTACGCATATGCATGAAATTATCATCCCTGCTCATGTATTTACTTAGAGCATCAGCGAGATTCACTCCCGACAGAATCACTCTGATAGTTCCTCAATGGCAACGGCGGCACCCGCATCGCTCTTCAACGGATAACCACAATCAACTTCACAATCCTTGAGAAAGTGCAGTCCCAACGCGAACGAGGCACCTGAAATCATTCCCTGCTACTCCCCAACCACGCCCCGAATAGACCTCCACAAGTTTATGAGGTGCGACTACCACATCACAGAATCTCCACTTGTACATTCTCGTGCAGCCTACGTAATCGGTGTCGGTCCACACAGTTACCTCCATAGGTCGTTCTTGATACACTTACTGGTACCGACACCTGTCGCGGTCCTTGACGCGCTTCCCTAATGTCAGACTTTCCTATGCGCATCGGGTTGGCGCTGCAAAAGAACGCGCAAGCTCCTCGATTGAAAACTGCATTTGCGAACAGCCCTGCGCTGGATAGCTTGCCTGGGCTACTACAGCTCAGCAGTCCTTAACTCCATGACTCGAGAGGGGCTGCTCATCTTCCTCTGCGCAAGTTTTCTTTTTCACCTGGCATCAGACACCTAACTCTCTCTGCCCTGGGCCTACTTTTCCTGGCGCAATCTCAGCATTCCCTTAGTCCACCCCATGTCATCGCCAACCCCCGCCCATTCCACGTTTCGGTTAGGAAGTCTGACCGACCTAAAAAAATTGGCAATGCTCCGAAACTGCCCCTGACTAAAACTTCGAGCTCCCTCTCGATTTCTCATTCGACCAACCAAGCTCAACATCAGTACACAATCGGAAAAATCGCCCCCACGCACCGCGGGTCAGATTCGCCGCGCCACATGTCCAAGCACATGGATATGCCTTCCCGTTTTCAAGAATGACCGCACAAGCGAAATCCAGACCACAAAATTCCCAGCTGCCCGCGGCGGCCGGGGAGACGAACATCGACTGCAAAATCTTCCAAGCGCGCCCAGTTCACGACCTTTGACGGGCAACCTGATGCACGCGATCGTTTCGGCATCGGCGTAGAAAGCTCGGACTTCTTGAATTGCTGCGCCTACTCCGCCCGAGCTTGTTACGCGAGTTCTGAATCGAGCTCACTCCCTGATATGTCGACCCTTGCACGTACTTGACGATCTTCGCGGTGAACCACGCACATGCTCTCACATGCTCTGCCTGGTCACTGGCTGTACTGCAACAGCGCGCCCACATGCCTCGCAGGCCCCTGGAATTCTCAACCAGCCCTGGTGGCGACACGCTCCAAGAATCCACTGGCGCGGCTGGGCGCCCTGCGCAGACCGCCCGGCGAATCGAATGGCAATTTCGTACGCTACCCCTTCTGAAGTCTCTCCTCTGCTCCTTTCCCCTCAACCTCACTGGCCACAAGGTCCTCATGTAGTCGGCGGGCGCCAAGTCCTGAGTAACCCTGGGCAGGCGCGAACTCCTCTGGCCATGAACTTTCTGGAGGCACGAGGCGCGAAGCGCCATGATCTTTGCCCAAGTCACCGCGGGCCCCATTTCCACCTGCATTTCATTCGCACGTGACCCAATGAATTCCAATCTCTCGCCGGGATCACTCCGATTCGCTTAGGGGCCAAAGACTCTGCCGAAGCACCTCAGTCGGCCGCCAGCAGTCATCTGGAGAACCAGACCATCGAGTGTAGCCACGAAGTCGGTCTGATATACGTATGATTTCATCTATCAGACCCCTCCAGTGAACTCCTCGACGCTGGCCTGGACGTTTTGCGCTGAAGACCCTTCCGTCGCATTAACTGTCAGTCCTGAAGCGCGTAAGCTTACTTATGAGCGCCTCATCTCCACTCGCAACTGGACTACTACTCGAATAGCACCGATCGCCAGCATACGGTCTTAGGACTGCGCGCCTCAGCATCCTCTGCATTGGCGTCGCCGTCGCGGCCTAGCTTGAGGCTCCTGCCGGATGCCAAAAGAAGCACAATAAACTGCCCCTTCGTGCGCCAGAAAAATATAGCTCAACCATGAGGCACTGCATTTCGTAATCTAAAATGTCCCTGGTGTTTTCTGGCCCGAGTTCTAATTGAAAGCTTGCAACCTGCTGAAAGCCGCACACGTTGGGCCCCCCATGAACAGCGGGGCCGCTGCACTCTTGATGACCATCTCGGCGTGGGCACGCACTGCTTCACTTGAAGCCCCACGGGCCCCCGCATTCATCGCGCGGAGTCAAGTCCATAGCTAATCGCGCATAGGTTCAATTATCGCTGCCACGTCAGCAACTCGCACTGGCGCGCATCGGAAACGCGCGACTGCACATCGCACCGGCCTCTGCCGCATAACCCCATGGCCCCCTTGACTTCACGAACTGGCCCGACGGCGCCCAGATTTGCGCCGAGTAGCCCCCCACTACATCAAGGGCAAAACCCACCACGTTTTCAGCCAGCACGTGCCTCATCGGGGTCCATGTCGCCCCGTTCTTCGCCATCATTCCCACATTTGCCCCGTTGCGCGTTTTCGCCGTCAGGCCCCTTGCCTTCTCCAGCTCCTGCGCCCTATTATTGCATCTCTTTGTCCTCGCCCCCTTCAACTCTGACTGCCCCACCCCTCCCACCGCCTCCTGGGCCCTCTGCCATTTTCCTGACTGCCACTGATCTTGGCGGAGTAACGTCGACCAGGCGCCCGTCGCCATCACCGACAGAGATGACGCGAAACGCAATCCATCCCGTCCGAGTTCCTCGCAGACCCCCTCAATTCCTCAATTTCGCAAGTCTTCCAATGTCTTACATGCGTTCGTCTATCATAGCTCAGCCGCGCGGGGGCTCTGACCCCTTCTCTGCCCTTAGGCACATACATTTGGGAAATGGGTTCACGGTGTCGTCAGATGGCTAGCCCGTCTTGAACGACCTACTCAACGATCAATAAAGTCTTCCTATCCATGGCCTTCTGGAAACTGCCAGGCTGACAACAGGTCGTTGGCGGCGCCTCGTCAGCACTGCACCCTTGACATCCCGGCGCGGACCCCATGGCCGCGCATTCCGAGCACTTCACCGCGAATCCTCGAGCGACTAGCGGACTGGGCAACTGCAGCTTAAACCCTGATTGGCCCCCACCATCGGCAAGATCACTCTGGCATCAACCCTCATTCAAAACACGCGTGAATCTCGCTGTCATGAGTAAGCCCGCGATTTGTCGGCTAACCTCATACACCTTCGACTTCCCCCCAACACTTCCACTGGCCCTGGACTCGCGAGACGCGATGACGCCCTCACGAGCGGCGACGATGAACTCTCGGCACGGCCCATGCATTCCCAGACAAACAACCCCCACCCACCCACCCACCCACATTGCATTGAAGTCGTTGCCCACCGCCTAAAGCGGAGTCTTCAGGAACGCGATGCATTCGCACAACTTAGGTAACGCATTGTTGAATGTCCAACCCTCGCACCTTCCGCGCGGCGTCCTGCCACAACTGCCCATCGTGATCGTGTCGACGAGAGAATACGTAAAAGACACGAATCAAGGCATAACTTCACAATTCGTTTGAAATTCTACGACCGGATTCACTTCCTGCACCATGTCGAGGTTGCGCGAAACATAAACAGCTTCCTTGAGCGCCGCACTGGATGGCCCCCCGTCGACTCTGATGACCACTCTTGTGGCCAGCGAATACAATCACATCACATAGCACCTTGATTGACTACGGACCCACATCCTCTTGGAAAGACTCGACTCCGGTTTAATTTTGTGCCCCCACAATACATCGCGATGATTGGTTTCCCTCTGCCTTCTCTGCCGCCATCCTCGCCCTCCTCGTCCTCTGAATTCATGGTGACTGGATTTCGACATGGGCCCAAGGGCCCACTTGAAATCAGTAGACCAGGTCCGCCATCAGAGCCCCCGGCTCGGAGAAGCCCAAATCTCTCATCGCTGATTCAATCGACTTTTCTCCTCCCCCTCTGGCACGCCATCTTCGGGCTGCCTATACTCGCATGGCAAACTGCCAATTAACACTTTCCTCGCAAAACGTCGTATTCTGCCCCGTTGCCGAATGCTCGAAGTCGCTGCTGGATCGCCCATCGTCGCCTCGATCCAACTCTATGCGATCTCCCGTTTCGACCATCTCGCGCGCGGAACCGAGCACCTCTCTAACATGGGCAACTTGGATGGCCGCGCCCCCATTGGATCCATTTCCGTTTAAAATAACTCCCCCCCCCCCCCCATGGTTCCTGATAGCGGACGATTTAGCTGCGCTGCAATGCCTGGCGCTCTCGGAGGCCTCCGCGGGTTTGACGGGGAAGCGCATTCCCGCGCTCGGGGCCTACACGCGTCGTGGGCCCCTGAGCCCACGACAACAACGACTGTCTCCACGCCGCTCTCCCGGCCCCTCACTGACACCTCATTAACTTCCTTATCGGGCCCTTCCGTCACCACGAGCTGCAGTGCGGCGGATTTATGTATCAAACTCTTCGCATGTCCTAATGCACCCTGTGAACCGATCATCCCTATCGGCGCCATGGTCGCAGTTCACGCTGCACGCATGCGACGCGCACATCTTCTGGATCCCCAACCTCGCCCCCCTGTTCCTTCCCCCTGTTCCCTAGCACTGCGCCCCCCACTCGAGCGCCCCGCCAACCCGCCCCGGGACTCTTGTCGCTGGTAACTCCACTTCCGGCAATGGAGTCGCCCACGCCAAGGCTGCAGCATCCTGGCCCGGGCAGGGGTCGCCCAAGCTACGTGGAGTCTCCTGGGCCTCCTGACCCGACCTGCCCAAGGGCGACCTCGGCAGCGTTCTTGGGGCAGCGGGCTGCGACGTGACCAAGATCGCCGCACGCGCAACGCCCCCCTGAATGATTTGCAAAAATCCCCCCATGCCCCCTCCCCCCACCCCAGCCTGGGGCTCGGCCCCCTTGGCAACCTCCCAGGAGATGCCCTTCGCAGCCTCCATCGACGTAACCCCCTGGGCAACCCTTAGTGCCTGGATATCCCCCTCTGCAACCCCCGTGCCTGCACCCTTTGGCAACCCGCGACTCGTCGGCATCCCCTTATTCCGCCGTCGCTCCCCCTCGCGGCGCCAATAAGGGCCCAGTCCTCGGCAATGAGCCCGCGTCTTCCACTCGCGCTACACATGGGCCATGTACTTGTGCCTTTCCCTCTGCCGGGCTTCAACCGCGCCGCCGATGCCTTTCCCTTTTGCCGGGCCCCCACC